GAAGCTGTATCTGAAAGTGTGCTATCCACAGCTCTAATAGAAAATGTGTGACCCAGAGTCACATCCCATCCACACCTCTGTCATTTTCTAACTTGTATCTTCCCTAAGCATCTCATTTAAGGAAAACACGCTTAAATAGTCCCATAATACTTACTTGGATTGAGGGCTGGAGAGATATTACAGGGGTTAGGTCGCAGGCCTTGCATGCACCAAAACAGGTTTGTTCTCAGCACTAAAGGGTGCACTTCCCAACCCAGGCACCACAGGGCCTGAACACTACATCCTCATCCATTGCATTTGAACTGCTGGCAGTTAGCTGACAATCTCCATGATGGCCCTGGACCTTCTGAGCATCACTTGGGAGCCTCCTACCCCACCCCAGATTAGCTAAATTAAAAATAACAATAAAATGAAAAATTTAAGGACAGTAATGAAATTTTTGGGTTGGAGGAACTTTGTCACTTTCCTTTAGGTGTTGAAATCCTCCCTTTCTCAGGTGAGGACTAATCAGAGCCAGATATACACTAGGTTTACAAGGCGAGTGTGGCCAGGGAGTGAAGCTGCTTCCAGCATGTCTGCAGGTGTCCTCCCCCAGTCCGGTCCCCTACTGCTTTCCTGACTGGCCTGCCACCTGTAGAGCTGCCCAATATTAGGCTGTAGGCCTCTCAGACTTTCCTCTCAGGCAGGCCCCTTCCTCCCACAGCCCCCGGCTGAAAACACTTTGCAATTCAGCACTATCAGAGGACCACTTAGGAAATTATTGGGCAACTTCTTTGTCAATTAGTAGCACTGTAGTACTATCCTCCCGTTGTTCATCAATTTGCTTGAGCGGGCACCAGTAATATCTCTCTTGTGAGACTTGTTACTCTTTTTGGCATATCGAATATGTCATGGGTAGCTTGCCAGGCTTTGTTGTGCGGGCGCGATACTCTTGGTAGCTTGCAAGGCTATCTGAGAGGGGCGGAGGAATCGACCCGGGGTTGGCCCGGGGCTGGCCCGGGGCCAGCTGCGTGCAAGGCAAACGCCCTACCTGCTGTGCTATCACTCCAGCCCATGTCAATTAGTAAAGCAGATATCTTATACCAACTATTCTTTTCATCATTAATTAGAAACAACCCTTTCTCTGCTCTTGGTTTGACTAAGGATGAAAAGAATGGTTGTAGTAATCTTCCCCTGAACCTCCAACTTCCACCCTCCACCCTCAACTTCCATCCACCATGTGGCTTTTAAATTTTAACTCTAAGTAAAATTAAGTATAAAGTCAAGTCCCTTAGTCAAACTAGCCATTTTTCAGGTGTGCAACAGCCAATGGCTCCCATCATGGAAAATAGAAACACGATGCAAAAAGTCCTTTGGACAGCACTGCCCAAGTTGATTCTCAGTGTACTTATTCACAAAGTGTTGTCACCAAGTATCTTTTAGGGGGAGGGTGGGCTTATTCCTGACTCCCTTGGGATTGCTCCTGGCAGTACCAGGGGATCATATGGGGCTGGGACTGAATCCAAGTTCTCTGCATCAAAGGCCTTATCTACTATACTATTTCACTAACCCCTGAGCTTCTGCCAATATTAATTTGAAAACATGGTAGAAAAATCCATTGTTTTTTACAAATGCTTTCCAGTATTCTCAATCTAGCAGCTCTAAAATTAAATAAATTGCTTACGGCCATATAGCAATTTTGGTCTAAGTTTGACATTGCTTCCCATCATATTTGTTCAATGGTTATCATGTGCTGATATTTACAGTTAATGAGACCTTAGAAGCATGGCCAGCTGCAAACACTAGCCAGGTTTAACACATGAGCTAATTTGTGTTCGCCTACAGCTATTAGTGTATGATATTGCGTTCTAGAGAGTTCATTTGCGTGTACTCCACACAGACTAAGGAGAGGGTTTTAGAACAAAAGGAAATTAACTCATGACATTGTTCTCATGCAGTCTCAATTCTAGTGGATCCCATAATTATAGTAAGACCTTTCTTGCAGATCTTCTGGCCTCTAATATTATAGTCATTCGTCAACTGAAAATATAAATCTGATCATGTTCACATGAACCAGCAACTTTCCATACACAATTTCTTCTCCACCTAATTTTGCTATTGAATTCTTTTGACTAAGCAGAAAATATTCTTAAGATATGGATATTAAAACCAAGTACTCAGAATACTACTTCTATTCAGAACAAGTCCTCATTCAGCTGCTCGCCCGGCTTCATTTGCCTTGTATCCATCAGTAGGAATTTCAGATTCAGAAATTTCAGATCAAATAAGATACACCTCTAAGTGTTGTAGTAACCTGTTATTTTTGTATTTAGGTGTTTTTATTTATGGACTATTTCTGGATGGAGCTTCCTGGAATAGAAAGATAAAGAAACTTGCAGAATCATATCCCAAAATTCTTTATGATACGGTGCCTGTGGTTAGTATTTAACTAATGATAAATACCTTGGTGTGGGACCACTTCACAACCATACACACATTAATTCTTGCCATTCCCAGTGACTGTTTTAAAAAGTTGCCAATTTAAATTTTTGAGCACTGAATCAGTGCTCCTTAGGACAATTGCAAAGGGACTGGTCACATTAATTTAGTTCTAGAGCCACACCCAGTTGAGTTCAATGGCCATTCACTGTAGTGCTTAAGAACCATGCAGTGCCACAGAAGTCTATGTTCTGGCCCGATGAATTATCTCCCCAGACTCTACAGTCATATTTTTAACTAGTCAATACATAAATTTACCTTACTTGCAATTTTTTATTTGGACTTAATATGTATAGTTATTAATATTGAATTTATGACCAGAAAGTACTGTAACTCATGCTTGGTCAAAAGTTATAAGTATATTTTACCCATAAGACACATTGTACACTTAGGGTCCATTTTAAATGGCAAAATTACCTCTACCACAAAAAAGGGGGGGGAGGAATTTCACACTAGACTGTGAAAAGGGAACTTTTATGCTCTGAAAGCTAAAACAAGGAGACAAAATTCACCAGGTTCAACCTCAGCTGGCAATGTACTTGCCCAGTGACTTGCATTATTTTATTTGCTGCTGCTTGAACATTCCCGCAAATGATCACGAACTCACTGGAATGATTTTAGGATTACAAGTAGATGTTCGTGTATCTTTATAACAATATATACAAGGTTTTACACACACACACACACACACACCCTTGGCCTAACAATTAGAAACTCACAGCTTACTATTAAACAAAAATGTTTATTAGGTACTGATCTTCAGCATGAGTGAGCTACATAATATTAAGTTCCAGTCTGTTAGTATGCCATGAAAAAACTTTTGACGCTTCTTTGAAGCATCAGTCTGACATAGTATGTATGTGATATGGGATTGACATAAATTCTGCTTCAACAAGAATTCCTTTCAGAGCAGCTGCAACAGGCAAGGAAAGGGATCAGCTGATGGCCAAATACATGAAATCTATTATATCTACTATCTGTACTAGAACACCATGGGCACAGAAAGTTGGGAGATCCAAATTGAAGTCACCTGGGCAAATGTTAAGTAGTTTAGGAACTAATTAGGATCATGTTTAGGTTTTTTCCCCCTTCTCTTTCACATGGAAACACTTCATTGGCTTGCCGTGAATTCAGTAGTCAATGAGGGAACTTATTTGTAAGTGGATGATTCTCCAAAGAAGAATTTCTTTAGGAATTTCTACTCTGTTTGAAATGAAATACATCAGCTTGAGTGTAGTGACTTGTTATACTGCAGTCTGAAAAACTGCTGTAGAATAATCTGGATTCCACAATAATGTAGAAATAGATTAGCATCCTTATTAGCACCTTAATACTTGTTGTATTTTGTCTGGGAAATGTGAAAAAGGGTGTGCTGAGGCTACCTACTTGTAGACTCAAAAGGGTTGTTATTATCATTGAGAAAAGTTCAGTTCAATTATAAAACAAAATACTTCACTACTATGCTCTTTATTCTTAGAAATCACAAGTTTTACTAAATATATTCCAATATTGTTAGACAAAGAAATACATTTTAAACAGATAATGTAATTAATATAATAACCCCTTTAAAATAGTCACCTAGAACAAGGTGATCACAATTGACATAAATTTGGGGTCTAGCCTTCAGTTAATAAGGCAATAATATTTTAAGTATCAACCGTGGCAGTTCTTCCAGTGAAAAGGATATCTGACTTTTTAATAAATTTTTTCAGGTAAATAAGGGTAGAAAAGTGATGAATACATGGGGTAATATACCTATGCTAAATTTGGTGAAGCCCCCCCCCCCCCGCCCCCTGCTCAGTTTCTAAAGTGGTTCTAAAGAATTTTGTGCTCTTAATTTTTATTCATTTATTTATTTATTTAAAATAGGCCGGGATGAGGAGCAGAGATAGACCACTGCCCTGCTGTGATGTCTGGGTGAGATTCCCAGCACTGCGTGTGGTCCCCAAGTACTGCTAGGAGTGGCCTGAACAATAAGAACTTTCTGAGCAGTGATAGCACAGATTGTAAAAATCTTTATTTGGAACACAGAAATTTTCAGAAAAAATCTAATGATATTAAATTTAGATAAGACATTTTACCCAGCTTCACTTACGTTTCAATACTCTTCTTTTCAGATGTGGCTAAAGCCCTGTAAGAAGGTAGATATACCAGAACGACAAAGTTATGTTGCTCCATTATACAAGACAAGTGAGCGAAGAGGAACATTATCCACCACTGGACATTCTACAAATTTTGTAATTGCCATGACTCTTCCCTCAGACCAACCCCCAGAGCACTGGATTGGTCGGGGTGTAGCGCTGTTATGCCAACTGAATTCATAATTAGAAGATATATACCATTTCCCTGTTCTAGATAGCTGAGCAGGAAAAAGACTTCTAAAAACAACTTCTTTTGTGTAGTAATTTTCACTAAAATTATAAATTAACTGATGTGAAAATGCAGTGTGTTTTGAAAATTACCCATACTTTAAGTGTTAAAAATGTTCTAAAATACAGACTAAAGAAAACACAACTAATATATTTGCTCTTTTTGAAGAACTTTATTTTGGGAGAGTTCCATAAGTATTAGGAACGTACATAAAATGACACACCACTGTTGACAATGAAAAAAACAGCATTTGATCATTTCCAGCTTTATAAATTTTTAAAAAATGATTCAGTTACAACAAAAAGTTTAGATATTTTAGCAAGTATCACCTTGCAGGACCATAATCACATTTAAGCCACTGACTTACTGTTAATGGAAAAAATTCACACTGCATCTAGTTACTATAGTATTTCTAAGCATAATCACAGCTGATTGAATGCAATGTGATATACACCAAAATTCATATGGATGTCACACAGTGACAGCATTGTACAAGTAACATTAATGACCTCCAACAAACACATGTTAAATTAGACTGGTCAAGTTAAATGGAATGTTGGAGCCAAACAGAAATGTAGTGGAATTCAGATTGTCTATTAAGACTTGAAACTATACATTAGAATGATGTGAAAACTAAATACTGGTGGAACCCTAACAAAATACTAGCAGCAACTGTTATAGTCTCTTAGATGGTTGAATCTAGGAAATAAAGACCATTTTTGAAAATATAAAATCTTATATATTTCAGCATGACCTATTGCTTTAAATCAGGCATTTAAGACTGGGAATATACTCCAGCTGTTGCTTTTCATAAAAGTTTTAAAATTAAACAGATTAAACAGATTGAATGCTGGAATGAAGAAACTTCCTTGGGTATAAAAACCCCAAAATGTAACTATAAATATATCTTGGTTCAGAAAGCAAGCTATCTGAATCACTTGAAGTTGGCAGTATGAAATAAAATAACAGCACCTTTTAGCTAGGTTGCTTGAAGGGCCAAGCAATGAGATGAGGACTGTCCTAATTCAGTGACCAATGTCATAAATAATCTAGGTATAAAATTCTTTTGGAGAGAGCCCCAAAGCCAAAAATGTTTCAAAATTCAGGCATAAATTAGGGGGAAAAAACCACATTGGCATGAATGCATGTGCTGTTCTCCAACAACAGTTTGGTTTGAGGGTGGAAGAGATGGTTGTTGTTGTTTAAAGTTCATGGAGCTAGAGAAAAGAAATTAGGGAAAGGAAGATGACTCAATGAATGGAGTATAAATGGAATGGAAAAAGTTTGGCTCTTAAATATCTGAAGAGTAAGATTTTTAAAGCAGCTACACTGGTTGCCAAGCAGATTAAAACAAGGCTGCCTGCACAGAGTTCAAAACCACAATTTACCTGGCATAAATGAAAACCATGTGGCACAAGATGTAAACAGAAAGCTACATGCATATGACTAGTACTACAAATTATTAGGTCAAAATTCAGGATAAACATGGCTTGCACTTCTCACAAATCATTCACAATTATGGTAAGAGAACCGAGCATCTAAAAAAGACTAATCCCTACCAGGCACCAACAGCGTATCTTGGCACAAAATGATCAAGTGATTTCAGCTGTGTTCTTTAAATACGTCTTCACTTGGTACCATGATAGCCACATATCAGTGGAGATTATCCTTGTAGTCACCTGTACTGATACTCATAGACAAACCGTGGACATGGTGAACTTGAAATTCTCTGCATTACCTCTTTACTGCCAGCCACAGTATGTGCTCGTGGTTCCAATGCTACACTGGTAAAGCAATGCGTACATTTAGAACTTGAATTTCCCAAATAACTAGTTAGTACTGTTAAAGTAGGAAAACTGTTAAACCATATCTGGGTTCTTCATTGCGCTGATATTTCATAGAGGGTTACAATTTTAACAAAAATATTTTACCACATGCGTCAGTCCCCTAAGCCCACCAAAACACCCAAAACAAAAACAAAATTAAAGTCTGAAATAAAAACAAAAACCCAAACACCAAGTATAATATTAATACAAAGAACCATTATGAATCTTTCATTAAATTGAAGCTCACACAAACATACAATCACAAATTTCAGTAGTTTAGGCTGCAAGTTTAAACACTATGCAAATATATACAAAAATAGTAACTCTAGATTCAAGAATAAGGGCTTTTCCCAATGCTAAATTCATACTCTATGCAGCCTGACCTTTCCTCCTCTAGCTTCTAGCGTCTACTTTATGCAGTTCCAAAGCGGTGTCAAATTGATCCCTATTACCATTCGTATGTACACAGCTGAATTAAAGGACCCTACAATTCATTTTTCGGCACAAAGAAAAATCTGCCCAAAGTCCATTTAAAATATTTTTAAAGTTTAAGTGATTTTTGGTTCCATTTCTATTTCTGCATAGCCACAGAAGTTTCTATCAATAAAGAGACTACTTTAGTGTTTTATATGATTATTTTTTACAAAGTCTTAATCAAACCTACATCACCATTGGTTCATGAAGTCCCATTTTCTCCTTCCTTAATCACAAGCTTTGTTTTTAAAAGCTCCCTTCATGCAGGGAAAACAGTACTGAGCACCAGTCTTTAGTGGTTAGGCTCAAATCTATGGAACTTGTAAGTAGTGCAAGCCACTGACTTTTCTTTGAGCAATGTGCATACAGTACAAAGAAGAGCTGCAAAGCTGCATGGTAACATCCTTATAATCAACTGTGGTTACTAGGAATGTTAAAACTGGAGGTCAAATACAATTTTGTCTTCAAAGAGAGCAATCACCAGCATGATGGCAAATCCAAAGAGCAACCCTAAATTCTGAAGAATGAACTGCCCCACTGGACAGAAGCCATGCTCTTCATTGTCACCATCACCATGCAGCATTTCTGGGAGCTGGAAAAAAAATATATTTACAAGCAATTTTTGTGTAATATTCTGCTTAAAATATTTTTAATGTTTTCCCATCTAATGATTAAAGCATAATTACAAGTAAAGTCATTCTTTTATCAAACATAAAGCTATCTATATCACATTTTAAACACGGAGAAAGACAATTTAAACTCTGGTTATCTAGAAGTCAATACTAAATCTCTTTTCTCTTGGGGCTGGAGTGATAGGAGAGCAGGTAGGGTATTTGTCTTGCTTACAGCCAACCCGGATTCGATTCCCAGCATCCCATATGGTCCCCCGGGCACTGCCAGGAGTAATTCCTGAGTAGAAAGCTAGAAGTAACCCCTGTGTATCACAAAAAAAGCCAATAAATAAATCTCTTCTCATTCTCCCTCCCCCAATTCACAATATATGCGTGTTATTTCGTGAAAGTTACTGTCCACTGACTTCACCAATTCTGGTATTCATTGCCAATGGAAGTTTCAAAAAGAATGCCACAATCTACCTATTCACCATTGTATGTTAAGCTCATTGAAAAATATTCCTTTTGCAGATATCTTATTCATACAACAGTCTAATTTCATCATTCCCTTTCCATTTGAAGTGGTTATTTCCAACTGCATATTAAAACAATGATAGTTACAGACAACTCCAAATTGGCATCTCTATGCTCATAAGTTATTATTTTATTCAAATCTAAGTACAGAAAATATTTTATGAAAGCCAGTTCTCAAACGATGACCTGTGCACACACCACCTGCACAGGGCATTCTACTATTTGGGGGTGTTGGTGGTAAGGGAGTCCGGGAGCCATACCTAGCCAAAATCAGCCACCTGGTTTAGCGGTTCAATGTGAGGCCCTGATGGTGCAGTGCTGCTCAGGTCGTGCGGTGTTGGGGACACTGGGTCCATGCCAGCAATGACCAGGGCTACGCATAGTGATGCTCAGGGGACCATGTGATGCTGGTTAGTTGCATATGAAGCATGTTCCTTATCCCCTGTGTACTACTCTCCAGTCTGCACTGTACTCCTAACAGTGATGAAATTTTAAATTTTGAGAATTTCTACTATCTTTGATGATACTTTTATATCAAAATTTAATAGTCCAATTTCTTAAGTATATAGTATTATAGTTGAGCATAATCTATAGTTCAAACTATAAAACCTAAGCCTTTAACCAAGTAAATAAAACAATTTCAAAGATATAAGCATAACCTCTTTCCATCCAAACCTAATCAAAATTGTGGAAGTAATGCTACTTAATTTTTACTTTTTTAAAAACAATTTAAGCATGCAATATACATATAAATAAAGATAACATTGGTAAATTACTGTTAGATGATAAAACTGTGAGTTACTCTCAAAAGATAAAGCTAAACTTTTCTTCGAATGATATCTTGGTGCTTTGGGGATTAAGGAGGAGGAATGGAGTGTTAAGCATATATTGCCTGCCTAGGAGGAAACTCTTATTCATTATTAAATGAGTACAATTACAGTGCTACAGTACGTTTAATGATCTCCTGAGGATTGTATTTAAGAACTACTTCATGCTGGTCATCAATTCTGCCAAAACGTCTATGGCAGTTATGTACAATGGCTAATAGAGTCTGGAGTTAAGCAGGCTGAAACCACTAAAAACAAACTTAGTAATTGTGATGGAGACTATATAATGTAGCTCACAAGGCCTAAATCTTTCCTCTCTGACACTACAAAAAGTGTGCAAATGCCTGACTCAAAACTGAAAAGAGGAACATCTTACCTACTAAGAAAACCATTTTATTACATCTTTCCTCCCCTTGCTATTTCCTTTTGTTGTTTTGTTTTGTTGGTGGGCAACAGGGATCAAAATCCAGGATGGTCACCTGCAAGGCAAGTGCCTTACCCACAGTGCTATCTCCCTGGCTCTTGCTCCCTTGTTTTTATTTGTTTAAGCCACACCAGGCAATGCACAGGGGTTACTCCTGGCTCATGCACTCAGGAATTATTCCTGGCTGTGCTCGGGGGACCATATAGGATGCTGGAAATTGAACCTGGGTCGGCCATGTGCAAGGCAAACAACCTACCCATTGTGCTATCGCTCCAGCCCCTCTTGTTCCCTTGTTTTATAAAATACTTTAAAGTTAGTTCTTTACAATATACAGTCCTAGGAGTAAATTCAGTGAATAAGAAAGTATCGCTTTTTTTCATGTGCCCTTTCTCCCCTTGCTTCTAATAAACTCTGCTTTTGCTACCTTCCCTTATGACTTAGCACATATTTCTACTTCAGAAAAAGAAAAAAATTCTATACAGCCTCTCTTATGTTCCACAAACACACCTCTCTATCCTAACACCGGTCAAAGAACTACAGTCAGTGACTCCTTTTCTTCTTCATTAACTACAAATTCCTCAGGACTCTTTCTTTTTACATCTTTGTTCCTTAATAAGAATTGGATTATTCATGGTCAAGTACTCACTGTGACCCTCAGATTCATCACTAAACAAAATGTGACAAGTGCTTTCCTTTCCCAGTCAGACACACAACACATTTAAAAAAAAAAAAAAAGAGCAGTATTTTAACAGGTCAAGATACACATGCAGAGAACAAAAAAAGGAAAAGCAGAGGGACAGAGGATGTGAAAGTCTTGGTGTAGAAATAGAAACTTTAGAATGCCTCAGAAGGGACAAGCCGGGAGAATGCCTGTCAATGAAATATTCCCCTGAAGTGATCAGCAGGAGCAGGATGCTGAGGCAGTATTTCTCCTGAGGGAGGAGTAGGGATGGACGAGGTAAGAGAAGGATCAAGGTAAGAGAAGGATCAAGGATAAAATGCTTAGAGACAATGAAAAATCTGGACAGCACAAGAACACCTTCACACTTCTTGAGATTTAAAAAACAAAACAAAACAAAAAAAGTGACACAATCTTAAAAAGACCACTTCACTTTAGGGGCTGGAGGGACAATACAGGGGTTAAGGCTCTTGCTTTGCATCCTGCTGACTTTTGGAATGAATCCCAAGCACCAACATATGGTCCCCTGGGCACTGCCAAGGGTCACTTCTGAGCACAGAGCCAGGAATAGCCCCTATGCACTGTCAGGTGTGCCCCCACAAATTTAAATATGTAATTTTTAAAAAACAATCACTCGAACTGTGGTACTGAGAGTGTGGTGGTGGGGTGAGTAGCACAGGCAAGCAGAGAGACTATTCAAAAAGAGAAAGAACTGATGATGTTTAAATGAGTGTGTGGGGGAAGGGGGTGTGTAAGGAAGGATTATGATATGGAGCCCTCAAGACTTCCTGAAAAACCAGGAGGGAGAGGGACAGTAGACAACGGAGTCAAGCATGGCACTCAGGGTTTCAATCCCAGAGACTAGAAGAGTGGAATTCGCAGTTATAAGTGGGAGTGTTGCACAGGCTGTGGTGGTGCAAGAGTCAGGCTGGCAAATGTCGAGTTGGATTCTGGACATGCAGTGACATTTAGATACACTGGACATGTAGTACCATTTAGACATTCAGGTGAGCAGATGCCATTGCGAGGAGGGTGTAGGTTAAAAATATAAACTTCGGAATTATTAGCCAATAAATGTTTACAATCATGAGACTAGCTACATCTACATCCCATAAGATGGGCCAAAATGCTTGGGAAGCCCGAAAACTCTGAAATCAAGTGACAAGATAATCTGAGCACTGCCAGTGTGGCTCTCCATGCCTCCCTACTCCCAATCCCCCCCCAAAAGAAAAGAAATCAAGTTAACCAGAGAGCATTTCCTAGAATGTTCGGCTTCCAGACGCTGTCTTGAGGACAACTGAAATGAAGACTGGCATCTCAGAGACGAGCAGGTTAGTAAAGTGGATGACAGAGCAGCCAGGGAGAGAAAAAGAGACTAGTTACAAAAGAAATTAATTCAAAAAGGGTGGTTTGCTCTAAGAGGTAGAGACACTGCATCTTTCTAGAAGGAAGATTTTACTTTGACACAAATGATCAAGCAACAGAGGAAAAAAATCCTGCAGAAAAGAAGAATTTAAGGGCTTAAAGAAGAGGGGGTAAATTCTAGGGAATGGTTTGAACAAGCTTGCCTAAGCTAGAGTGGAAACGTTTCTGCACAGCAATAAGAAAGAAGGTAAAATGTAAGAAGAGGCAAGTGGACGTGACAGGACTTGTGGGAGAAGGTGCTGATGGCTTCAGCGCTCCCAGGAAACAGCATATTTACTGAGCATGAGAGAGGAAATGACATAGGAGGTCGAGCAGACAAGAAAAAAAAGGCTATTTCTAGAACAGTAATTCTCACTTTTAATTCTGCTGGTATCTAAACATTTTATAATAAATTCCCTATTCAAATTTTAAGTTATCTTATTTTAAATCTGATAAGATGCTGCTTGGAAGAAAAGTAAACCTAGTATCTAGCTGAAAGCAAAAAATAACTGAGATGCTGGCTTTGTAAATGTAGTCCAGAACCATTCAGAGCAAAATTACAAAATTATGTAAATAAATCACAAAATTTATTGTGATTGAAGTAAAATCACAATAAAACTAATTGTTAAAGTTTAAATGCATTAACCTTAAATGAAAGAAACAAGAGCAATTTCTTAAAAACTACAAATCACTTTCTACAGAAGACTGACGCACCTAATGAAATATCAATAATTTTGTTTGCTATAAAGCAAGCTGGGAAAATTATTTTATAATCAACAAAATAAACAACTTCTACCGTGATACTATAAAATCATAATAACTTTGTTATTAAATATCTCCAAATACTACTCTGAAATCCTTTGAATCGGAGAATGATTTGGTCAAATATTTTCAGTCTCTTGACTGGTTTGCAAAAAAAGGAATTCTTCTGCTTGTGTATTCCCTTAATAGATTATTTAGAATAACATGTCTTTTAAAAAAGGATTGTATTTTTTTTTAAATGGTTTCAAACTGCACATAAAAAAAAATTTGGCCCGTTTCTGGAAATAGCACTCTATTTTAAAGATTTACCAACAAAATTAAAAAGTCTCTTACCATATCCACCAAGGCTACGTAGAGAAACATGCCTGCGGTGATGGCGAAGATCCAGAGAGTGATGTTGTTGGCATACTGACCAACTGCCGTGCCTATGAGCATGCCGATGTAAGCCATCATGGCAGAGAGGAGGTTGTAGACAATTGCCTGCTTCACGGTCATCCCTGCTTTAAGAAGTACTGCAAAATCACCTAGAGTTAAGACATAAGGAGAGGGTTTTGTAAGTTGAAAGAAACCAATGTCAAGTTTAAAACGATATATGAAGATATACCTTTAAAAACTTTTATTTCGAAATTTGATTTTTTTTTAACTTAGTAAACTAAAGTTTAATAGAAGCAGAAATGGGTGACTCTCAAAGGCATGGTGCTGAAAGATTAGATAGGAATTCATCTATGTAACAACAAAGCTCCAGTGATGGAGAGATGGCCAGAGGGCAAGCATAAGGACGAGTGTGACTATGCAGGGAATGTCTCAGTGTGCTGATGAGATGTTCGCTATCTTGATGCCGGTGGTGATGGTGATACAAATCTATGTACACACTAAAAATCTGAAGGACTAAACCAAAAAAAAAAAAAAATCAAGGTTAATTATAATATATCTAACAATGTAACTGTTAATTGTAATGTATGTGACAATATAGTTGAGCTTCCTGGCTCTATGCCCAGAATTGACCCCAGGTAGTACCCAGGGGAATATATATGGTGCTAGGGATTCAATGGAGGCAAGTCCTATACTGTCTCTCTGGCCCTGAAACACAAACTTTTCTAAGAAAGGGGAAAAAAAAAAACTCCCTCCAAATGTGGTTTTTCCTCCTTTTGTTGGCAAAAGGATTTAATATTGCTTAAACAGACTACTAGATGGGCAAAATGCTACCAGAAATAACAGACTTGAAGCTATTGTCAAAAGAAACAGCTTTACTAATAGTAAACCTTTGTCCTAATTGCTGAGTGTACGACTATCTAATCAATTACTGAACACTGTATGTGCAAGGTACTACTCAGAACAGTGAGACTTGTTTCTTTTTCTGAAGAAGGGTTCTTACAAGACTGTAAAAACACACTCTTCTTGGTTAGCTGATTGGTATAATGTCCTAATCTGTAAGAGAAGGCAATCAGTGAGCAGAAGTCAATCACAAAGAGATCAGTGTAAGACACTATTTCTCCCTATTTCAACAAACTGTTACAAATTGTGCACTGCAATGTTATTTGGCAATTTAACTAAAGAGATTTTTACCAATGGATCTAAACTTTGAGCCTCCAGATTACATCTAATACTTTTGCTACTTGTATCTTTTCACTTATGGTCATAAGTAATTCTCTGCAAGAAACATATTAGACATTTATGTCTAATACAGCAGCTTTTCTCTCCTTTCTCAGGCCTGCTGTTCTCAGCTTCCTCGAAAGAGAGATCCCTTGCCGATTTCCTAACATCTTTTTAATAATTCAACAACTAAGCCAAATGGATAGTCATTTAGCAAGCAGCTGAAAAATTTTTTTAAAAATCCCTATAAGTCATTTTATGGGTTTTTTAAAAGGAGCATTATCTGGCTAGAGAGAAAAAATACAGGGGCGATTGGCACTTTCCTTGCATGTAGCTGACCCTAGTTCAACCCCCTGACACCACATTTGGTCCTTCAAACATCACCAGGAGTGATCTCAGAACACAGAACAAGGAATAAGTGCTAATAAGCACTGCTGGGTGTGGTAGCCTCAAAAATAAAATTAAAGGAGAGTTACTTAATACTCCTTAAAGAAAAATATCAGTACAAACTGTATCCACTTTGATAAGTTCTCTGAGATAAACTGGGTGGCAAGATGGTTTCCTTCATCTTTAAATAACGAAACAATGGAACTAAACAAGCAAGTTTCAAGATTAAGCAGTTTTAATTTAACTCAAAGTTAACAGAAACAAAGTAAGAGAACTGGTCCTCGGTAGGAAGCTTGCCACTGGGGTAGGAATAGTGGAGTGGGGATTAAGTTAGGGAAGGAACACTAGGACAATGGTGGAGGGGAAACTGCCTGCTATCGAGGAAGACTGGGTGGGGCTGCGGGGCAAAGGGTGAGGGAAGTGGGCACTGGTGAAGGGATTGGTGCTGGAATATTGTTCCCCTGAAACTTCATAATGAGTACTTTGTAACTGTAAGTTACAGTGATCCAATTTCATTTTCTAAGCAGTTTTAACTTTATGGGGGGGGCGGGGGGCGGTGTACTGTGGAAGCCACACCCAGTGGTACTCAGAGCTAACTTCTGGCCTTCTGGCCTGTGCTCAGGGATCACTCCTGGCAGTGTGCAAGGAAAAATATATGGTGCCAGAATTGAACTGAGGTTGGCTGCATGCAATGCAAGTGCCTGAGCCAATGTACTATTTCTCCAGTGCCTACTATCTGTTTTTCGTTCAAAAATAACAGGTTGGAATTATCTTGTGTTAAAATTCTCCTAGGTGGGCCAGAGCGATAGCACAGCGGGTAGGGCATTTGCCTGGCACGTGGCCGACCCGGGTTCGATCCCCGGCATACCATATGGTCCCCAAGCACTGCCAAGAGTAATTCCTGATTGCAGAGCCAGGAGTGACCCCTGAGCATTGCTGGGTGTGACCCAAAAGGCAAAAAAAAAAAAAAAAAATCTCCTACGTATCTTCATTTTTTTTTCTCTACTTCCTTTCTTAATAAAAACTTTTTAAAATATTTTAAAAATAGAAAAATAGGAGCTGGAGCGATAGCACAGCGGGTAGGGCATCTGCCTTGCACACAGAAGACCTGGGTTCGATTCCCAGCATCCCATATGGTCCCCTAAGCACTGCCAGGAGAGACTCCTGAGTGCAAAGCCAGGAGAGTAACCCTTGAGCATTGCCTGGTGTGACCCAAAAAGCAAAAAAAAAAAAAAAAAAAAAAACCCACTGTTGGGCTTTATACTGCACTAGCAAACCTATTCATCTCTTGCAAAGTCAATATTCTTTTCTGCAAACAAGAGTTACCATTACCACAAAGAATGAGATATACCTACCAAAACCATTCATGTTATACAGTGCTTATACTTGTGCTAGTATCTGCTAACATCAACTGATACTTTTTAAAAAGGACATATTTTAAGATGCTTTACTTTTGCCTTTAAAATATACAAATATGAATGCAAAAATCTATACAGTGAGTACGCAATATTTTATAGATCCTGATATTCCTACCTTTAAAACACATGAATACAAATGTAAAACTCTACACAGTAAGTGTTAGATTTTTCCTGGACAATTTAGCAAATTTCAGAAATTTTATTTTGAATTCCTATTTACCCCAACAAAGAGGGAAAGAAAAACTGAACAACAATATTATAGCCTCTCTGAGCTAAGTCTTAATAATATGACTATATTTACTTATCAAAATGTTATTTCCTTGAAGATGAAATATAATATCCAGGAAGAGAAACTGGATTACTCTGTGCCTCTGGATTATCCTAATTTCTCCTTCAAACAGAGGTTTTTAAAAAACAAGCCATTTTTTACAAATGCCCAAAAGCAACAAGAACTGAACTATTTTCAGTAGGCAGCTTATAGCACAGAGAGGGAAACGGGAGGGGAAATAGCCAATGGTGGAGGGTCCCATACAAGACTGCATCACCACTATTAGCATCGTAAACCACAGTGCTTAAAATAAAGTTCTTTAAGAATAAACTGAATAAGAAAGTTATTTTTTTTTAAAAATTATTAATGATCCCTAGGAAAAAAAATAAAAGTTATTTTTTAAATGCTTACATTTGATTCAAGTGATGTATTTAAAATACTCCTTACTTTGGGGGGTGGTCTTATAATAAAACCTGGACAGATTATAACAGAGCACTATCTTAATTTATTTAAAGTTTAGCCACATAGGTTTGGCAATAAGAAGGCAATTGTAGTAATTATCAAATTCATCCAAGTCACATGCCAGAGCACACATGAAACAAGTATTTTCGATTTCCTCAAAGGGTTTCCATTATGTCACTTTGCTGAGCCCTTTCATCCTGGGGTTTAAATGTACATGCAAGGCTGGATACACAAGTGGTAGAGCATGTGAGTTCATGTCCAGCATGTGCGTTTACCCTGGCAATGCATATTCCCTACACAGTACTGCAGGGTGTAACATTAATGGCCCCCAAGCACCAAACAGATTCGCAATGCTGGCTATAGCATCGCTGGAGGTAGGCCCTCTTCTCTCCATGCCCACACACAGGTGGGTGCACCTCCTACAAATAAAGTGTCTGTTTGAGGGGCCGGAGTTGGGACAATGGGTCTTACAAGGAGCTGACCTGGTTTCAATACTCATACACATATGACTCCCCAGCTCTGCCAGGAGTGTACCCCAGTTTCTTTTCTTTTGGGGGCGAAATGTTGAGGGTGACAGATTACACCAGACAGGCTCAGAGATCATTCCTGGAGGTGCTTCGGGGACCATCTGAGCAAGGGTCAAGATGCAAGGTGAGCACCTGACTCCTGTGCTCAGGCTGTAGTCCCGGGATCCAAATGCCTTAACAACCAGCCAGCTCACTCTCTTGAAAATCAAAATTGACCTTTTCTCATTTACTAAGATTACGTTAGAAATGTTGAGAACTTCCAAGTCTGAAAAATTTGTCCTAGTTCTTTGCAAAATATAAAGTAAAAATCAAAGTGAATTAACAGCAAGTTTTGTTATGTAAGGTAAGAATATTTCTTTTTAAAGTTGTGGTATACAGATTCTTTTTAAATAGAAGGAATTTGTTTATGAAATAGAATTATAGTGGGTTACCAGCAAACTCTGATGTTTAAATTAAGAAATGGTATTTTTAGAAAGCTGTATTATGCAACTTATGCTCCAGAGTAGACATAATTATTTTATTGAATAAAAAACGAACCACAAAAAATAACATTTTATCAATCTTCAGAAGGACGTATTTATATTTTAACAAAATACATCTTACAACATATGACAGCATCATTCATTATTTTGGAGAGTGTGCACACCCAGCAATGCTCAGGGGTTACTCTTAGCTCTTCACTCAGGAATTACTCCTGGTGGTGCTTGAGGGCCATATGGGATGCCAGGGATCAAACCTGGGTTGGACCATGTTCAAGGCAAGCATTCTATTGGCTAGACCATCTCTCCAGCCCCAATCACCATCCGTATTTATGCTTTAATACCTCTAAAATATGGATGCAGATATAATCGAAGATGTCTCAGTTGAAATATAGTGAAAATTTTAAGGCTGTTACCTAGTTCATGTGGCAGTTCATGACAGAAGACAGCTATGGAAGTACTGATTCCTCCTGTTAATCCAGCGCTGAATGCTGCTCCTAAGGCAGGGGGAAAAAAATCAAGAATCACTGATGAGTCTGTTTTTCCTTTTTTATCAGTAAAGATATGTACAGTCACTTCTACCTACCTAAACTAATTTCACAATACATGAATGACTCACTTAAACATCACATATTTTGTATGTATGTAATAAGAAACAATAGGTATCTAGCAACTGAAAAATTTACTCGATAAAAAAACATTCAATAATAGCATGGGCAGCTAACAGTTTTCATTATTTAAGTCTCTCAGTAACAGTTTGATACGCAACATAAATCACATATGTACATCTTTATGATTGCTGCCGTCCTTGCTCTCTTACAGCTCTTATATCATTTATAGATATTTAAACGCTAGTTTCTTTATCCCAACTTTTCTAAGGCTTGTGTTCAGTTTTATTTTTTGATGGTCTTGAGAACTAAGATCAGAATGTATAAATGCATTTGATGAACTAGTAAATTCTTTATTCTTCAACTTTGACAGCCACTGAGAATTCAAAATTATGGTTCCTCCTTTCTCAGTTATCACTATTCCTGACTATAGATATCAAAAGATAGGCCCTCCCGTTGATCTTCGATTTGCTCGAGCGGGCCCAGTAACGTCTCCATTGGAGACTTTGTTGTTACTGTGTCTGGCATATCGAATACTCTCGGTAGCTTGCCGGGCTCTCCGAGAGGGGTGGAGGAATCGAACTCGGGTCGGCCATGTTGGCCGCTTGTAGGTACTATATAAAATAATAAAAAAAATTTAAAGGAATACATAATGATCACATTTAATAGTTTCAAACTCACACTAACAGTTTATAATGACAAGACGCTAAAGAAAAATTTTACTGTGGTATAATGGATTTCAAAAATCTACCTTTTCAAAATTAAAAATACATATTTTAAAAGCAAGACTGAACCTAATTCTCACTTAGAGACATTATCCGTACTTGAAAATACTAAGGTAGCTGTTTAAATGCGATGACCATGCCTCAAAACTAAGAAATCAAGCTTCTGAAAAATTACATTAGACACTTCTTTGCATGTTCAAAACCACCACTGAATCATATCTTTATTCCTTCAAATGAAACATTAATATAATCTTCAGGAAAAAAAAAGCAGAGCAATATAATTTGTTAAACTCAAGATTTCAACCTTGCATATATGTTACAGTTCAGAAGACTAGTACTGAAACAGTAGAAGGAAAACAAAAGAACAGTAAATTACATATCCGGTTTCAGGCCGACTCACCAATGGCTAACCCATCACTGAAGTTGTGGATGCCATCCCCCATGATTACCATCCAAGCTATGTTGGCTATTCCTGTCTCTTTCAGATCTGACCCAGAATGACAGGGACCATGAGAATGATGAGAATGTTTGTGGTGCCACTGATGATTATGTTTCCTCATCACAGTTTTACTCTCCTCATGGTGGTTATGTGAGGCAGCATGGAGATCATGCTCATGAATGGCATGTAATCCATCACTATGAGAATGGTCCATAATTTTCTCCTCTTCCACACAAAGGTAATTTTTAGGAGGCGATTCTTGTTGGGCTTCTAGATCTGTCAATTCAGTTTCATTCAGTCTATCTTCAGAAATAACTGAGTCATCAGTTCCTTTATTTAAAATAGAAAAGGATAGGTCTTATCAACAAGAGTGCATATCTGCTAATTTAAAGCAGAATAGCAGCATAATAAACATTTCTTAAGTAAATCATTTTAAGCATCATACATATTAACCATTTTTAAATAATTTAAAAAAATTAATCTACCATATTACCAAGAAATTCCACTCCTGGGTATCTATCCAAAGAACACAAAGACATTTATTAAAAAAGATAAGCACAACTATGTTCACTGCATTTCTATTTACAATAGGCAAGATCTGGCAACAACCCAATTGCCCCAGGACAGAAGAGTGGATAAAGAAGAGGTGTTAAATATATAACAGAAGGCTGCTCAGATAAAGATGGAATTGTTTTTTAAGTAGCATGAACAGAAGCTGGAGCAGGTCATGCTAAGCAAAACAAGTTTGAAGAAGAAAGACAAATAGAAGATAATCTCACTCATGTGTGTGAGAAATAAAACAAGGGAAAAAAAGAAATAAGAGAAAGTCAAAAGGTAACAAGTCCTTGAATTATGCTGCTGAACAGAACCCAAGTGGGTGAAGGAAAGAAAAGCAAAAAGACTGTAGTAGAGGTACACAGGTTCTTGAATGATGCAATGTGGTAACATACATTCAGAAGAGCCATGTAGGAACTACACTCTGAAAATGAACACAGTCTTGCAAACCAAAGTTACTTCAATTTAAAAACTCCTCATAAATATAAAAGAATGATGTACATACACACACAAAGTAGAATTTGTTCAAAAGATGACCCTGATGAGGTAAACAGAAAGGAACTTAAATAGAAGCAGTCAAATTGAGTCAAAAAAACTGGAAAAGATGTTGTCAAACTTAGAAGTCCATCATGGACAAGAAAATTAAAGAGGACATACTATAGCATTTACAGGATAACACAATAAGCTCATGAATTTACAGGGACAGAAGGAACCATAAATTCACTCACTCTAATTTTTAAAGAAAACATAAGCAAAATTTAAATAGCTTGCATTTCCTCCATACTCAACCACTCTTGAGAGGATCACTCTTACTTGAATCACTGATCAAATGATGGTCAGAACCCCTTAAATATGATTAACTGACAACTGGCTCGGATAAAAAAAAGGAAAAAGGGGGAAAAAAAAAACCCAGCTGAGCTTGTCTTCACAATGGGCTTCTAAAAGCTATTTATTACATGATCAAGATCCTACTATGTCCCAAATTGTATTCTGGAGTTTCACAGTTGGCAGTGTCCAGGCCATACTCCCAGCTCTGTGCTCAGGGAACTGTCCTGGTGGCAGTCAGGGATATGCAGTACTAAAGACTGAACCAGGGCCGGCCATGTGCAAGGCAAGAGCCCTACCCCTGTACAATCACTCAGGCCCCATAGACATTTTTATTAAAATTGAAGTTTCAATTTTTTCTCCTTTGGTCCCACATTCCAGTAAAAATAAAACTTCAGTTAATAAAATTTTTAGTATCTAAAAATTATATCCTAAAGAAATGCAGACACTAAATAATATGTGAAATACAAAGATAAGAAATTTCAAACAACATAAGCATAACTTACAAGTAATAACTTACAAATAATAGTTCAGGTTTTAAAAAGTTTGTTATTAAGTCAAAACTGTCTCCTACCAGCAAGGGGCTTTAGCTGAAGCCAGTCAGCATCTGGTGTATTATTTAACTTATGATCGGAAAGCTTTCTTCCAATAGCTGATTCTTCTGTGCTCTGCTTCATAAACCATTTCTGTTTTCCCTGAAAAATAAAATCTGGTATTAGTATCAGATTTTCAACCACAACTCAGTAATATTCACATCTATGGGGATAAACATAAATAATAAATAAATTACTTAGAAAAAAATTAGAAATAATTTTTAAAGATTAAACAAAAGGTTTTATCGAGCCAACTAAATTTGTAGACTTTTTATTTTCAAATGTTCAACTGAAAGGTTTGATTCACCTACCTCAAACTTTAAAGACAGGGCACAAACATGCAATACAAATGAAGTGTGTGGAATACATGTAATCTTTTATATTTAATAGTGTGGGGAATTCTAGAAATCTCAAAAATTTTTAGGAATTCAAATACCTAGAGTTTATTCCTATAACTTAGTTGTGATTATTAATACAATCCCATTTCCCAGCATGTAACACAGTTAAGAACTCAAATTTGAAGTTTACTTTCTTAGGAGATTTGGATGAGCTTGTTAAATGTCTTGAACAAAAGAATACTCATCGGTGACACAAAATGCTGTTTTGAAGAACAAATAAAGCGATGTATAGAAGCAACTCAGCAGTAACTGGCACTTAACAGCTTTGTAATAAAGACAACTCTTCTTTCTCATCTAATAAATTCTATTACTATGCAGTATTGATTAGATTTTCCTATGTCAAATTGGCTGGCTTTCTACTGCTCTACTCTTTCTTCGATATGCCAGACACAGTAACAACAAAGTCTCCAATGGAGACGTTACTGGGCCCGCTCGAGCAAATCGATGATCGACGAGCAAATTGATGATCGACGGGAGGGCCTTTACCTTTACCTTTACTCTTTCATCAATGCAATTATTAATGACAAGTCTACCATCTCAAGTTTGTTTCCATCTGTACTAATTTTTGTTTTCTTTTTGGTTTTTGAGCCACACCTGGCTCAAAACCCAATGAACCATGCTTGGGGGTGCGGTGGATTGAACTGGAGTTCCCCTGCATGCTAAGCATACACTCAGAGCTTTGGGCCACCTCCTAGACCCTAATTTTGATAATTTAAGAGAATAAACAATCAAGTGTAGAAAAGTATGAAAACAGAAGTCAATATATTCTTGTGGATCATTTTCTTATTAATTTTGTCTACAAGTGGTGAACCATGCTTGTTTTAAGCCCTTTAACTGCTAAGTAGCACTGTCCTCCAGTTGTTCATCGATTTGCTAGAGTGGGCACCAGTAATGTCTCCATTGTGAGACTTGTTACTGTTTTTGGCATATCAACTACGTCACAGGGAACTGCTAAGTAAGCTTCTTAAATCAAGTTGAGTTTGCATTAGTCTCTAAGACAGTCACCATCCATTTCTTCCTTCCTTCCTAAATGGTCACTCTTCCCCACTCTATGTGGTGGAATCTACCCCCTCCCTCTTGTGCCAGATTCTGGCTGGTCTTGTGCCTTGCTTTGTTCTATACAATGCAAGTAGCATTCTAGCAGTGTCCTCCCATTGTTCATCGATTTGCTCGAGCGGGCTCAGTAACATCTCCATTGTGAGACTTCTTGTTATAGTGTTTGGCATATTGAATACATCACGGGTAGCTTGCCAGGCTTTGTCATTTGGGCAAGATACTCTCGATAGCTTGCCAGGCTCTCCGAGAGTATCTTGCCCACATGGCAAAGCCTGGCAAGTTACCCGTGATGTATTCAATGCAAGTGAAGTGATGAATTACTAGGGCTGGCTCTAGACTGGGAACTTCTGCTCTTGCTTAGTTCAGTGTAGATTATGAAGAAGTCAGGTGTAGGAGCACCAAGATAAAGATGTAGTACTGTAGCACTGTCCTCCCGATGGTCATTCATTTGCTTGAGCAGGCACCAGTAACGTCTCATTGTGAGACTTGTTGTTACCATTTTTGGCACATCGAATACACATGGGGAGCTTGCCAGGCTCTGCCATGTGGGCGGGATACTCTTGGTAGCTTGCTGGGCTCTCCGAGAGGGACAGAGGAATTGAACCCGGTTTGGCTGCGTGTATGGCAAACGCCCTACCCCACTGTGCTATTGCTCCAGCCCAGACAAAATAAAGATGTAAAAGGAGAAAGTTATAAGTGTTCAAAAGCAAATAATGATAGCAATAATAATAATAATAATAATGAAACATATAAAAAGAGGATCCAACTGTTATGAGTTAGAGAGAGAAAGAAAAATGAAGGCGAAGGGCCAATGATAGGTCAGAAGAGAGTGAAGCAGAGCCCAGAAATAATAAAAAGAGAACAATTGGAATTTTGTTTAGTTCTGACTGTCCACTTCCTAAAAGCTTGCCAAAGAAAACCTCAAAATTTCCACCTGCTAAAAGCAATAAGTAACTGGTGTTTTATTTAGTGTATGCTCTGAGAACTTTCTTCTAATTAACAGCTGACTCTTATACAAATGTCTGCTGTTACTGATGTGTTTTCTTCAAGAAATTTCATATACTTTTACATCTTTTAGCTTACTTGTCCTACTTATCAGAAAGAAGATATAATGACTTACCTATCCATAGCCTTTCTTCAGGTGAACATTTTAAATTTAAAGTACTCCACCACTAAAGGTGTTTTTAGTTTTCTATTTTCCACAATTTAAAGTTTACAAACACTTCTATTCTCCTACACAGTTAACTTCCCAAAATAAATATATCTAATTTTCCAGCAAGTTGAGAATCAAAATGAGAACAAGAATATACTACAAAAGAACTTGTATTAAACTCTTTGGGGCTATTATTTTACATTTACGTAGAAAATACTTTGTATATTATACACATACATATAATACACAATTAACATTTGCAATTTCAACATTAATAGGCATATACAATTGAAGAAAAACAGCTTCACAGCAATTCCAAAACTAATTCACATATTTTGTTCCACATTATCATACTTTAAATTAGGGACTTATAGAAATGGAAATGCAAACAAAAGTTATTAAGTTTTCTGACAGCATCTCATTTAAATAATTTCATTAATCACTTTTCTTCTCCATTCTGATCTCTAACTCTAGTTCATCTCTCTTCTAAATTATTCAGCTATTACTTCCCTTTCAAATTCATTTCCCTCCAGTCATTATTGCTTTTCCCACGTCCTTCCGACCATATTTTGTTCTTTATCCATCCATGGAACCACATACATGACCCTTTGAAAAACCAATGCTGCTAAAGAGCTCTCTCACTTTTCTCTAAGCTGATTTTCCCAGTTCCTTCTGCCAACTCTCAAATTATACTTCCCTGGGAATACCATATCTTGATAACACTCTCCCCTCTTTTAGGCAACTAAATGTAATATATCCTAACCAAAATATGGCAATTAAAACCAAATATTTAGAATATGATGCAAAACTACCTTCAGATATATGACCCACAGATTGGATAGCAACCAAAAGTCATGAGGAATGAGTTAGTCTTATAGCCAACTTAAAACTAGAAATCAAAGCTCTGCTATATGTACATAAACAATGTATTTGTACAAATATAACACATACTAAGAGAATAATAGTTGTATCACACAAGTAGGCATTATACATCACAATAATCATAACTTCAGTCTTCTAAAGAGAAAAATTTTTTAAATATTTGGTGTGAACTCGTCATTTAGACTAGCAGGATGGAGAAAAGGCTGGACCGTACTCCTTACAATAAAAGGTCTTTAGTGTGTCTGTCAGCACCAGTCCTAGTGGTGTGTTGCTGGACCTGAGCAATATTGCTTGGAGTGGCCCCCAGGCCTCCCGAGTACTTGGGAGCCTCAGTCCCAAAATGTACAAACTGGTAGAAATTTTCTGAAACTGTTCGAAAAGTTATTTATTTAAAGATAATAGATCAAAGAAAGTCATCACTAAGACTACAAACATGTTAGTGAGACATATTCAAGACAGAGCTTTCATCAGATGTGAACTAATGAGAACAAGGAGGGGCATGTCATGATGAATGGCAAAGACACTGCACTTAATATTTTAGATGAAAAATTCAGAACTGTCATCTGGCTTAGCCTCTTCAAAGTGGGACGGTGCCATCTCAAAAATTTAAAAGTAGAACTACCTACCATATGGCCCAGCAATTCAATTCCTTGGCATCTATGCCAAGAATATTTAAAAAATTTAAAAGATACATGCATACCTATTTTTACTGTAGCAAAACCAAGATCTGGAAACAAGCCAAATGCACATCACAAATGATTGATAAAGAAATCATGATAATATGCAGAATGGAATATTACAGAACTATAAGAAAAGATGAAATCCTACTTTATGCTAAAACTTTAATGAAACTAGAGGGTGCCATATAAAGGAAGGAAAAAGGATGAATGACAAATCATCTCACTCAATTGTAGTACAGGAAGAAACAAAGCAAGGGAATAAATGGACAGTGGGAAAGGAAAACAAACCCTTAGACTAAAATAACAAAACTGAAGTTGCCAAAGGCAGCAGAGGGAAATGGAGCCAAGCTCCATAATGTTAAAAAATTCAACGTTACAGCTTCAGTTTTATTGAAGTTTAAAAAAAAATATTTTATACAAGTTTCCTTATATTTGCTTATTTATTTACTTCGGTTTAAGATCCACACCCAACAGTGCTCAGGGTTTATTCCTGGCTCTGCACTCAGGGATCAGTCCTGACTGTGCCTGGTAGACCATATGCTGTGTGAAAACTAACTCCATGTCAGCCATGAACCAAGCAAGCACGCCCTTCCTGCTGTACTAGCTCTCTGGCCCAGCTGCCTTATTTTTATAAGACAGGAAATAGTCGATCTCTGACAAGCAGGGTATGGAACTGATATGCAATAACCATCTCTCAAGTGGTTCATCACTCAAGTCCCCAAATCTGAATTCGTTTTACCAATAGCAAGACATTTCTAATAAAGGAACGGGTTATGTGAAAACATTCCCAGTAAAACATGCCAGTGAAAACCTGTTATACCTGAAAGATTCACCTAAGAATATTGGTGAGACTTGCTTCCACTTCTACATTTTTATCTGTTTATAAGCATAGATTACACAATAGCTTTTCCCTTCTTATTTAAGTCAGTTAAGATATGACACAAACTAACTGAACTAGACTTCCATGTGTTAATCAAAGTTTTTCCTCAGTAGACAACTGATTAGAAGGCAGAAATTTAATGTCACCAACACCATAAGAAAAGCATATTGGGAGTCAGGAGCTGGCTGAATAAAGTTGCTGCTTTCTTCACATACGGGAGCTCTGGGTCTGCTCAGGTACACCACACACATCCCCTAACAGATCAGCAGTAACCCCAAGCACCACTTGGTTTAACTTCCCCTCAATCCCCCAGTGTTTTTATTTGGGGGTGGGGAGTTTGCTGTTACCAACGCAGAAAATTCAACAATTAAATACTTACTCTTTGTTGTTTGTAGTGCTTAAACATCCGAATACAGTGTTCAATGATAAATAACAAGTAAATGCCTCCAAGAGCAACAAGTCCTTTCAATACAGCATCATATTCTTCCAAAAACTTCTTAGATTCGTGTCCATGAGAATGTCCATGCCCGTGTGCGTGCTGATGACTATGATCATGTCCACCCTGAGACTATTAATAAGAATAAGGAAAACTTCTCAACAAGTAATTAAAATGCTCCTCTAAAATCTGACATTATAATCTCCTACAGGATTCAGAAAAATGCCTTTCACATTTTCAAGTGTCTCCACTCCCCCAGTATTATTTCACTTCAAATATAAGTAGTCTTTCCTTTATTTTTTTTTATACAAAGTGGCGTAGAAGCAGTAAACTTTATATATTAGAGAAAATACATTAAAATATCTGCAGGGATTTAAATACACACCACAGTGAAAAAATAACAACAACAAAAATAAAACACGAAGCCAACAGAAAGGTAACAGGGAGAGAGAGGAACCTTGTAAATTGACACGATATGATTCCAGTTATATACTGAATATTTAGTAAATATAAAACAAACTCATATAACAGCTGATCTCCTGTGCACCCTTGTAATCTAATTTTTCATAAACTGATTATAGTCTAATAATACTTTTCTCATAAGTTATTTTTAAAAAGTAATAAAATGCGACCTCTGCAAATATTACAGAACATTAAGACAGAAACATAAACTTAAACATTATTTGATTTTATACATCACATACAGAAATTATTTTTTAAATTTAAAATGTACAGTAAGCTTCACATACTAATTTTAGAGAACTTAGAAGAATTAACTTTAAATATATTTTTTTTCTTTCTAACACTCCATTATATATTTCTGCCTTTGCCAGTGGTCAACAAGAGGTTTCTAAATCTCTCAAAGGAGGGAAGGCCATTCAAAAAGGTCACAGCTTTATTTTACTATGATTTTTTAGGAAATGTTATGTTAAACAGCACTTAAACATTGTTCTCACTTTAACTGTTCCTACTAGGCCCAGTTCTGAAACAGACTGCTGCTGTTCCTGATGGCTGGAAGACAGGGCAAGCAAGGAGGGGTAGGGTGGGGGTGGGAATAGAGGGTGAAATAAGTAAATGACACATAAGAAATCAACTTAAAAGTCATATTCACAGTTTTAAAACTTATTTTTTTAAAGGAAACACATTGTTCTAGATCTAAATGTTCATCAATAGTACAGAAGGGGAGAAAGGATATATACATCACACAAATAAAATTCTGTCTTCTGAGTAATCCTGAAGGGAGATGAGGATATAAAAAATATTCAAGACTATAGCTTAATATTTTGAATAGAAAAGGTCCCACTTTTTAATAATTTGCAGTGAAAGCAATAATACTGCCTCCAATAGACTAAACAAGAGACAGACTTTAAAAGGTTGATAAACAGCAAAATAATAATAAAAAGTTGAAAGGCGTGGTACTCATCACTCATTTAAGTGTGAGATTTTGATTATATTATCACTAGAACTATGTCTTTCAGTCCCCAGCTAGAAGGAAAAACCGGTATGCCAGGTGAAAATATAAAGGGAGTCCAGTGTAAAGATATAAACAACTCAAATCATCAAATTTACATGCAAATAAAGATGTCTTGGCACACTGGTTATATGCATTACCATTCTAAGAATCCTGGTAAATTTATTCTAAATCATTCCTGATTACATAACACAGACCCAAAAAGAGCATTCATTTACTTTAAAGTGTTCCTATTCAGAATTATTAATAAAGCAAATCTGTTTTAAATTTCAGTCTTAATACGATTATACCATGAAGTTATAAATATTAAAATTGCTGATCATGAATTGATACATGCATATCCTATGACTAGTGAAAGCAAAACTAACAGTCCCAGTTTTTGTTGCTATTTTTAAACAATTATTCAATTTATTTCACAAATATATTCTATTAAAACTGCACAAATGGGAAGATTTCATCCTTCATCCTAAATGCAAATAAAACACTAAGTGCATGTTCTTCAGCTTGCTAAAGAATTGCTTTTAGATTCTTAGATTTTAGTTTTAAATTTTTTTTTAATTAAAAAAAATTCTTACATGGGGCAGTAGATGTAGAAGGGCATCTCCACTCATCGTTCCTACAGCTAGTGCAACAAGGAATGTGAGAAGGAATTTGAAGCATCCTTGGTTAATGATGGGAACCAAGATCACGCCTAGCAAGGAAAGCAGGCTAATGACGGTGATAGAAATGATACCACAAATCCAGGCTGTGGGAAAGAAATTACGAATCAAAATTAGTCAAGATATAAACCAAAATAGCTCCAAGGAATGAAAAACACAAACCAAATCAGTCATAGGCAATAGATTTAAAAAAGCTAAGCATTTTATGGAACAGTTTTGTAATTCTGGTTCTAACACAAATAAACTCATCAGGCATAAATGAAAATATATTCACCTGAAAAACAAAAATACTTTATCAAAGACAGCTGTATTTCATTAATGTTACACAAAGCAATTCAGTTCTATTTCCCTCAGTATCATCTCTCCTCTATAACACATTCCACGGACCTGTTGTTTCAGTTTGGCTTCCTGTACAATTTACTACTTAAAAATATTTTTTTCACCATATAGTTGCACGGCATTTAGTGAGATGTATACATCCTTAGAAATGTGTCATTATGTGTTTTATCACTGTGTAAATATCACAACACATAAACAAGCATTCCTAGGATACATATAGGGACCTCATCATACACACAATTTGACCCAAATGTCAATATCAACTGAATAAATACAACTGGATCAAAATACCTAAGAAATATTTTCACAGTATCAAAATGCAAGTGTGGAGCTAGGCAAATAGTTGAAAGAACTAAAGTACATTCTCTAATTCAGGAGCCCCAGATTCTATCCCTAGCATCTCATGGTTCCACCAATACTACTGACTGTGACCCCCCCAAAAAACAAAACAAAACAAAGCAAAAAACACCAGATTGGTGGGTGGGAAAGGAAGATTCTTTGCATATTTCTCTGTCTACGATATTCATAAAGAGGTAAGACACCAGAAGTTCAAGTGGGAAGGGCACTTTTAATTTAAAAGGTTAAATTACATTATTTTCTTTTTTTATTTTGTTTTTGGGGGAACTACATCCAATGGAGCTCAGGGCCTACTCCTGGTGAGGTTCAGGGGATTATATAGATGCCAGGGAATGCAACCCAGGTATGCCTTGTGCAATCTACTATCTCTCTGCCCTCAAGATTGCTTTTTATTAATGGCCCAAAACAAAATAAAAAACACTATTAGTTTTAAAAATCTGCTTATTTTAGTATTTATCTATAGCATCTTTCATTCTGCTGCTAAATCCAACTACCATATTAATGACTTCATTTCTGTTTGAATATCACGATCACGATCACAACCATCCTGTTGTTCGTCGATTGCCTTGAGCAGGCCCCAGTAAAGTCTCCTTCATCCTAGTCCTGAGATTTTTTTAAAAGTGCCATATTAAAAGCTGTTCAAGGGTTAGGAGAATGATACCCATCATTGTTACTGGTATTTGGCATATTGGGTACACCATGAGGAGTTTTCCAGACTCTGCCGTGTGGGCAGGTTACATTCGGTAGCCTGCATTTTATCCAGAGTAAGAATGAGATAATAAGGTGTCACGTGGCCGCAAATGCAGCCACGCGCTTCCGGGAGCTGGATTTTATAATCTCTGGGTCTTGGCCATTGATGGGATTACACGGCGCCAGGGGGCCAGTTGGTGGGTGTGACCCCCGCCTACTGGAATTTGGAGGATCTGGGTGGAGGATGCTCAGCCCCGATCCGAGTAGGCTTGGAGATCTCAGCCCTGGGACCCGCATGCCTTTGTTCCTCTGCCGGTACCTTCATGTGTGCGAAGAGTGGTCTCAGCATGATGGTGGCTGGTTCTGGAGATCTTTGGCTGCCGGAGTCCTGGTAGGGGTGGGGAGGAAAACTCAACCCAGTCCCCTCCAAGGGGACCTGGCGAAGACAGCCAGGCACAGGGGCAGGAGACTCTGCACTGTTCTCTTCCGGGAGCTGGGTTTTATAAGGTAAAAGGTAAAGGTAAAGGCCCTCCCGTTGATCGTCGATTTGCTCGAGCGGGCCCAGTAACGTCTCCATTGGAGACTTTGTAGTCTTTTATATTTAACAGAGACTATAAAACCTGTTTGAACATGTTCTTTCATATTTCCAATCAACTTTCCTTCAAGTTTATTGAAAACTTAGATACCTATATGACAATACAAAGAGTAACAAACTGTACATCATAAGAATTCTAAAAAGAGAAAAAAAGAGAAAGGGGAAGGATTCTTGTGAAGAATTAGTTGAGAAAACTTTTCCAGTCTGAGGGAAGCCTTGTGCATTGATCCAAGAGGTTCACAGTGTACCAAACAAAATAAACCCAGACAACACCAAAACACAAGGAAATAAATATTCTAAGAACCAAAAAGAAAAGACACCTTATAGAGGGAAGCAAAGTTGGTCATACAAGGAAAACATTGTAAGAGTTGCACTGTATTTCTCAAATAAAAATCTATAAGAAAGAAGAGAATGTAATGATCTATTCGAAGTACTGTATGAAAGTACCTTCTATCAAGAATCCTGCCCCCTGTAAGGTTATCACTTAGCTTTGCAGGACTGATAAAACATTCTAGGACAGGGGTCAGAGAGAGTACACAGGGTAGAATACTCATCAGCACAGAATCGGTTTGATTCCAGCATCACATATGGTCTCCAGAGCTTATCAGGAGTGAGTCCTGAGAATAGAGCCAGGAGTAACCTCTAAGGACTACAGGGAGTGGCCCCAAAACAAAGAAACAAACAAACCAAGAACCACTCTAGGACAAACTTGAGGGGAGCTACTGGTGCTTGAGGGCACCTGGTGCATCTAAACAGCTCTGCAAGGAATACTCAATGGCCTCTTACGAAAAGGCAAATGCCAAATTGGTAAAAACAAACCGCAAACAAAACCCTCATAGTTTAAAAAAGGTAACAAATTCCTTCCTATCAATAGGTTTTCTAAATGTCAATGACCAGAACTCTTCTATCAAAAAGCACAAAATGGCTGGATGAATAAGCAAACAAAATGCAAACTTCTGCAGCTTCCAAGACACACTTGAATTCTCAAGATAAACACATGCTTAGAGTGAAAGGCTGGCAAGCAATCATAGAGGGTAATGGCAGAGTGTAAGAGGCAGAGAAGACCATACTTGAATCTGATAAAATGCGTTTCAAGTTGTTTAAAAAAAAAAAAGTAGAGGGGAGGATTTTGTACACTAATTAAGACAACAATACTTCAAGGAGATTATTAACATATGCACCAAAGGAAGGAAGAGCAAAGTTTAGAAAGAACAACTGCTAAAAGATCTCAGGAGGAAGCTCAAGAGTAACACAATAGGAGACTTCAACATCCCACTCTTGTGTACAGACAGATCAAACAGAACATCAGTAAGAAAATAAAAGCCCTAAATGAAAAATTGGAAGAATTGGGATTAATAGACATGTATAGAACCCACTCCAAAATACTGAATTCTTCACCAAGCACAGAGAAGAACATCCTCCAGACAGGCCACATGCCAGGGTACAATCTAGAATCCATGACCTCTCCCAAGTGAAGCACAATATGCTACATTTTTCAAACGTACATGAACATGGGACCTATTATAATATACCAGAGGTATTGTGTATAATGTATTAACACATATTATATGTAATATATTATAATGAGCCAGAATCATGGAGAAAATTCGTTGAGAAATATTAACATCAACCAACAAAACAAACTACACAAAATTATAAGAACACTGTCATACTTACCACAATGTCATCTAAAAATATATTAAAAAGCAGGCTAAAATATTTATGTCCCATTAAGAAATTATTATCTATTTTTGCCAGTGGTAAGAAGTTTTTCAGTTCAGATTAGAAAATATCCAGGGTGAGAGAGATAGTACAGTGGATAAAATGCTTGTTTGCATACATCCCTTTCAAGTTCAATACCTAATAACACATATGGCCCATGTTTATTATATATATATTTTTTGAGAGTGTAACTATGACATGATAACACTTTCATTAGTAAAACAGACATGCTATTCACTATTCTCTTAGAATTAGTGCATATAACACATACTTGTTATGTTTTGCTGACTGGTCTGATTTTTACAATAATTTGTCTGTTTAGCACAAAATTTTAAGTCATTCTCCTAAAAAATTCTTCAAAGAAAATTAGTCCTTTTAAGCTAAGAAGTAAAGTTATTTTAAACTTACTGTACTTGAAATGCCTTCCTGTGCTATATACTTATTTTAAAATTAATTTGATTCACATCTGAGTTTATATAAACATTATCATTACTTCCTAGGTGAAATTTTTTAAAAAGGAGATTCCAGTAACATACTGCTGATTTCTATTGAAATCATTGTGCTTTTCCAGTCACAATTTGTTTTATATAAAAAAAAAAATCACAATGAAAGGCATCTTTTATAAAAAAACATATACCAAAATAATGGTATGCAAACCATTAACTGCAACTACCAAAATATTTTCTTTGTATGTACCAGGATACTATATGTAATACTGAAAAATAAATAAGTAAATAAATAAACCCAAAACAAAACCTTCTGTTGAAACAAGCTTCACTTATTCTACAAATTAAGTCACTTAAAACGTTAAAGGTCTTCAAGCTTAGTTATTCACCAACTCCCTTTCTCATTATCTAGAGAGAAAATGCATTCTTTTAAAAAGACGCGCTCATCTGTGGAAACTTTCTAATTAACTTGGTTCAAAGCATGTGCAAGATGGCAGTTTTCTCCACTGTTTCAGCATTTTAATTGGCAGAAAATGCTTAGCGGCCTATTCACAGCCTCTCTTGGTAATTTAGCGAGGGTCAACTCTATGACTAAATGAGCCAATCTTGTGAAACAAATGATTTCTCTCATACATAGCATATAGCATATTTGGTTTACAGCAGTCTTTGAACAGTAATGAGGTAGTAGTTGTGTCACTATGGGAGATTTATATAGAACAAGTTAACCTTTCTTAATGGTGCAGCAGTCATTAAAAATAATTACTAGTAGGTCATTTTCTGTAACAATTATTAACATCTATCAGAACATAATTAATTCATGCCTCATTTCTGACAATGCTAATAACCACCTGCAAACAACTAATCAATATTCACTATTAGTAATATAGCTGTTTTCAAAGCAAGTACAATTTTCTCTAAGGTTTTTCAGATTACATAAACTGTAATTTTCAGTATTTCTACAATCAAGCACCTATCAACAGGTTTGTTACAATATTTATGTAAATTATACAACATAGAAAACTTGAAATCATAGCCCACAGATAATATGAAACTTAATTTTTCAGATGACTTGCAAATAAAAAGTTATCGATTTTTATTCCAAATGTAACCATCTTGTCAGTCTACGTTCATCTCCATTAAGAACTACTGAATTTTTATATTATAATCTCAGATCTAGCTTCCCTTTTCTCTCAGCATAGTGAGAATTTAGAAGTACCTGAGAGAGGAGTGGCTCTTTAAGGACTTTACTCATGTACAAAGTTCAGTGAGCATGAAGCCAGGAAAAAGAAAACAGTCCATCAATCCAAAGATCAGAATTCAAATCTAGTCTGATGCCTCTCTGTTTCTGCCTTATTGCTCATGTGACACTAGACAAAGCTAGACTATGTAAGGCATTTCTTCTTGTTTTTTTCAACTAATCTATATTTACAGCAATACTTATACCAAAATTTACTGCTACAACCTATTCTGTCTGCATGATCTCCATAGTGTCAAAACGTAGTAGTATCAAAATGCTACTACAACCAACTCCCCTTTCTCCCTTCATTTATAAGTCTACTTACATATAACCAAGAACCTTTCACTGATATGTAAAAAATTTTGTACAAGTATGAGAGATAAACAAAGCTAGTGAAAAACAAAACAAATGACTTAGATTATAAGACTGTAAGCGTGAAATAAAATAGCAGTTACCGAAGTAGGAAAAGGAAGGCTGAATCGGGTAAAAGTGGTCAACTGCATATATGAAAGGACAAAAGCTAGGCTTTTTTTTTTTACTTTTATTAGTGAGACACCATGAGGTACAGTTATGGTGATATAAATATAAAATATGCATGCTTATTTATAATGTTGTATACCCAAACATATTAACTAACATTACTTCAATAAAAATGAATTTACTTCGATTAAAAGTTTTTAAAAAACCTTTCCACAGGAAGCAGTGAAACATACCATAAATGCACAGTATGCTGGTTACAACTCTGAGCTCTGAATGAGTAGTACTACTTTAATTTATCACAGTTCTGTTACCTGGCAGCTAAATGACCTGGATACGTTACTTAATGTCCCAAAGCCTCCATCCCTCAGCAAATGAAGTAAATAAAAGTGCCTAACATGTGAAGTTAGCACATTAAATATCCTTATAAAAGTGTTTAGTGCAGCATAAAGTTAGAATAAACAGTAGGCTATTCAATTTAGTTCTTCTAAGGTTATTTTTGATTGTAAAGAAATTAGCCAGGAATAGAAATGTAGCTGCCTGGGAGACTTTATTTCTCTATTTAGTGGCTTTCTTTTATTTGTGCTCTTTTAAGCTGCAAGGAATCTCTCTATCCCACATAGAAACAAAATTCTTACAACAGACATGTGATATTCCTTTTTCCTGTTTGTTTTGGGGTCACACCTGGCAGTGCTCAGGGTTTACTCCTGGCTGAGCTATCATATCAATCCTGGTGGACTTGGGGATCGTACGGGATGCCAGGGGATCAAAGCCAGGTTAGCCACATGCCCTACCCACTGTCCCACTGTATTAACGCTCCAGTCCAGATTTGTGATTTTTTTTTTTTTGCTTTTTGGGTCACACCCGGCAATGCTCAGGGGTTACTCCTGGCTCTGCACTCAGGAATTACTCCTGGCGGTGCTCAGGGGACCATATGGGATGCTGGAATTCAAACCCAGGTCGGTTGTGTGCAAAGCAAACGCCCTACCCGCTGTGCTATTGCTTCAGCCCTGATTTGTGATACTTTCAAATACACATAAGATTGAAATCTGACCATATTTTTATATTTTGACATTTTAAAAAATTCTGCTCTTTCAGGCTCATCTTCCATTTTCAATTTGTTTCAGACATATCAATTTATTAACTTTAGTAATTACTATCAAGATTTATCAGACAAAACAGAGTTAACAGGCTCTGTCATTTATCAGGTGTGGGAATTGTGAGCAAGCTACTATACTATTCTATGCCTCAGCTATCTTATCTGTAAAAACACGAACCATGTAACTGTTTCCTCATACAATAATTTAGATAAATGGTAAATCAAATTTTACTGGGGAAAAAGAAACCTAGCAAACCACTTAGCACAGTAAAATAAATACTAACGTTATCATTTGCTTATGAAACCTTCAGAGAATTATTGGGATAATAGTCTCTACCTCAAAGGACTACTGTGATGAACACATAAATTGAGTGTACAACAGTATCTATATGCCTATTAATAAATAAAAATACACTGTGTTTGGACCAGAGCAATAGTACAGCAGGCTGGGCTCTTGACTTGCATGCGGTATATATAGTTCCAGCAGTCTTGCGATAAGTACAGAGGTGGAGTCAGACCTAAGCACAGATGGATGTGACCCCGAAACAAAACAAAATATTGCCATGTGTCTTTGAGAACTGTCAACTGTGGAAACCTCCCTTGCTGGCCACGGAACCAATCTTGTTGATTGGCAAAGTTGTCACCATTTCACTGGTATCAGATTCTGACTTGCAAAAAGGAACAGTTCACAAAAGAAAAAAGGGATAAGAAAGAAACAGAAAAAAGATTTAAAAAAAGAAGAAAAAAAAATAATGGAAAAAGAAATACATACTGAAGGTCAACAGGAAAAAAGGCAATTAGATTTACTTTCCTGGACTTGGAGAAAGACAGCAGAAGTTTTAAGGTGCTTGCCTTGCAGACTGCTATGACCATGATCCAGGCACCATATATGATCACCTGAGCACAACCTTTCTTTTTTCTTTTTTGGGTTACACCGATGACAGTGAGGGATTACTCCTGGCTCTGCATTCAGGAATTAGTCCTGGCAATGTTTAAGGGATTATACAGAATGTTGGAGATTGAATCCAGCTCAGCCACATGCAAGGCAAATGTCTACCTGTTGTACTATCACTCTGGACAGTAGGGCAGGGATGGGGGGGATCTCTCTTTAGCACAGAGCTAGAAAAAGTCCCTGGACACTACCAAGTATAGCCAACCTCATCATCTCCACCATCAAAAAACAAACAAACAAAAACCAAAAAACAATTTATTTTCTCAGACTATTTTAGGAGAAAAATCAAAATTTTCTTACCTGATGCCCCTATATTTCCCTTATCTTCAGGAACCAAATTTTTATCCTTGTTTATGTCTTCAACTATAAGTTTATCAAAATGTTCAATACAAAGTCTGCTGTCAATTTGATATAACAAAGCAGGGCAAAGGCATGTGAATAAATCAGGTGAGATTGGAGCATTGGCACCATGTCCATAGTATTTTAGCAACTGAGTGACATTCAAACACTGCAAAGAAATAGAAAAAAATAAGTGAAAGTGCTTTGAGCATACAAAAAAGAATTACCATGTAATTGAAACACCTGTGAATATGTAACACACAAACATCTATTACAAATAAAGCTTTGGTGATAGCAATTAAAATACATTTAAAATCATTACCCAAGACAACTTATGTATTTCAACCATTCTTCTATTCTAGCATATGAAAGATAATGACTTTCTGCCATCAATAGGAATGACTCACAAATAATATTCCCAATATTCTTATGTGTGTGTGTGGGGCGGGGGGGGAAGAGGAGAAAAATCTTTTCCCTAGTCGAAGTGCAATCAATGACTCAAGGTTCTTATTTGCGAAACAAATATTTAGAATCTGTCAAATATCTAGAGTGCTTTAAAAATATTACCATAATAGGGCCAGAGCTATCGTACAGCTGTGGGTAGGCTTTTGCCTTGCATGTACCCAGCCCCAGCTTGATCCCTGGCATCCCATATCTCCCCCAGGAGTGACCCCAAGTTCGAGAGACAGGAGTAAGGTCTGAGCACACTAGGTGTGGCATAAAAACCCTCAAAAAAAACCTCAAAAAACCCCAAAATATTACCACAACACAGACATCTTCACCACCTCAGGTACCCCAAAGAATATTAAATTGAGAAATTAACTAAAAACTTAAAAGATGAAAAGGCAGCTTCATATGTTGGTATTTCAACACACCGATGTGGTTGCATATCACCAGTGGCTCACATTTAGCTGTGGCTTAATTAACACAAATTGCACAACATGCATCAACATATTAAGAGCAAAACAAAGCAAAAAAAAAAATTGCAAACAATGGTAAGTTCAACATATAGTACAAACAAATCCAAAATTAAGCCAAGGATGGTACTGCCTCCTTTACACATATCCATTCATATTATCTCTGGCACAAAAACAAAAAATTAAAACCTAGAAACAAACAAAATCACTTTCATCTTTTACTTTATTTATTATAATTTTTGTTTTGCTTTGGGACCATACTTGGCAGTGCTCAGGACATATTACTGACTCTGCACTGAGGAATCACTCCTGGCAGTGCTCAGGGGATCATATTCAGGATGCCGGGGATGGAACCCATGTCGGCTTGTGCAAGGCTAATGGCCTACCCACTGTACTATAACTCCGGCCCTCTTCTTACATCTTAATCAACATGATGTACAGACCTATCCAGTGCAAAATATGTTACCAGAAACACTGTGAAAATTTCCTGTATACATTAGACCTGCACAGAGACAAAATAACAACAGTTCTGATGATGCACACTCTAAAGTCTGATAGAAACAATAATAAAAATATTTATCTTAAAAGTTTATACTACTACCCATAAAACATACATAGAATGTAATTATGCTATTTATAATACAAGGAATACATTTTCAAGTGATTATTTATAACTGCTAAAAGCCTAATAAATGATGCCCTATTCAGGGGAGAAACACAAAGATATATACTTCCTTGATGAATCCTGAAAATTCACAGGGTGAGGTTATTTTTCCACAATAGATAATACCCCCCCTTTCTCTTTCTCACACACACACACACACACACACACACACACACACACACACACACCCCATGCAAGGTGGTATACATATGTAAATGTTATATATACATATGTATATCTGTAATATACATATATTCAACAAATTTTTTCTAAACTTCAGCAAAACTGCTAAAATTAGAATAAGTAAAACTTGTTGGCATACGTTCAATGAACTAAAAAAATATTTAAGGTAATTCATTTAAAACAAAAGAAAACAAACATAAAATATTTAAAAGAACATGAAAAACCATTCCATTACTATTGGAGTTGTATCTTTTTGCATTCACCCCCAAATCTGTCATAGACACAAGAGAAGATTAATGTTATGGTAAGTAAGTGAAAGAAAAAAGAAAACTTGTACAAAAATCCTGACTTTGAAAAAAAAAATCAATGACTGGGAAATATTCTAATAAAAAATTTTTTAAAGCTACAGTTTGTAAATAATACAATTTGTAAAAACCAAGTAATAGTAACAATATAAAACTTAACTTGGGACCTTCAAAACATGTGTGATACTATTACAATAATTCAAACAATCACTAAACATTTAGATTTGGGAAGGCAAATCTTGAAAAAAAACAATGTAAATAGAAATCTTTAATCTGATCTTAATTCCTTAATGTGGTCTAGCTGAGGAACATTATCTAAAAAATTAGTTTGGATAATAGATTATTCCATTGTCACTTTTCTCATCAACTGAAAGTTTTCACAAAACCAAGAATCACAGAGCTAATCCTCTAATGCTCACCTCATGTTGGCGGTCATCTTCATTATGATCTTTGTGACTAGCAGCTGTATAAATTGCACTTTTTTTATTATGTGGTGCTTCTCGCTTCCTCGTATGTCGAAGTTCACCCTCATTATCGGGATCAAAAACTTGGTGTCCATGGCCAGGATCATGACCATTATGTTCTGGAAGATGGCCATGAGAATGACCTGCATTATGTACACGATCAGGTTTGTGGACCCGATTATGCTCATACCGTGCACCCTGACCACTGTTAGTGGGGAAGCCTGGTGTATTGACCTCAGAATTTTCATGAATTTTCTTCCTTTTCCTCTCCCTCTTTTTTTCTTTTGGTACTTTACTGTCAGACTGCTCCTGTGTTTTATTGGTCTCTGCTGAAGGTCCATGACTGGGCTCCCCACGCTCACTCTGAGTACTGGAATCATTAGGAAGATGGCGAGTAGCGTTATGATCAAGGTGATGATGCAAACAATGGTGACGGCACAGGTGATGATTACGATCGTGCGTGTGTTTTTCATCAGATTTGACAGACACTTCAATTGTCTCTTTCTCTGGATCACACTTATGGTTTCTTTTTGTTGATACGCTGGTCACAGTTTGGTTTTCTGAATTTAAGTGATTATGGGAATGCTGGTGGTTATGTGAGTGAAAATGCTTTCCCTCCTGAACTGCCAAAATATCTAGGTGAGAGACATGATCGTGACCAAGCTCCTCATGATTAATCTCAACGACTTTGATCTCTCCAAGGCCCAAGTTTGTCAAAAGTTTCTCCAGACCAAAAAAGGATAATCTTCCATTTTCACCATAACGGTCAAAAAGTTTTTCAATATAGTATTTTTTTTCATTTTCCGCATCTGGCACTGGAAGTTTGCTTGACTCCGATTCTGCTACTCCATAATGGTGTCTGTGATGGTCTTCAGAGCCATGGTCATGTCCTTCATGGCAATGGTTGCAATGGTGGAAAATAAAAGTCAGCAAACAGATGAGGCAAAATTTTGTGTGCATATGTACCTTCATTTCTATTTTTCCTAAAGGGATGTAAACAGAGAGACAACCATTAGTTTACACTTAGACATATCCAAGGGCCATAAATTCTCTAACAGTCTTTTTGCTAAGCAAGTGTTTTGCCCATTTTTCCATGGCTAAGAATAACCCCTTGGGAACCAAAGAAATAGTACAAGAGGCAAGATGCTTGCTTAGCATGCTTCGGACCCTGCATCCAGGCCCATGGACCACGGATAGTAACCCTGAGCTGACTTGGGGATCAAGACTGAATATAAGGCTTTGTAGGGACAAGCCCTGAGGCACCACAGGGTATGGCCTGGTCATTCCCTCTTGCCCCCTACCCCCACTTCCTCATACAAACTGGCCTTTTCTGGGCTTGACAAACAGCTGGGTGGTAGGACAAGTATGAAAACTGGCACACATGATCCACTCAAGAAGGTGTGGTCTGGAGCCCCTCACTACCTCCAATGGCTTCCAGATTACTGGCTTTCTTCTTATCTGATCTTTACAAAAATGTCTGATCCCTAACCCAGCCCTGGTCAATGCAATAAGGCATTCAGAAATGAAAATATCATTTAAGAACAGCTGGACTGGATATTTGGAAACTTCAAAACAACCTATAAAAATTGTTAGTTTAATTTGGGTATAAGAAAAACTTCAATCAACTGTATTTCTAACAATAAGAAAACAGTATCAGTTATAGTAGTAAACATAAGATATTCATACAAAAATATAACATACTATTGAGAAATTCAAGACCTAAGTGAATGATATATTGTAATCATGACTGGATGAGTTATCAATCCAGTATAATTGCCGAAAACCCCAGAAGCTATTTCATGAAAAATGATGTTTTTACTGTTCATGGGAACTCAGAGGCCAACAGAAGTCAAAATCTTAGTGAAGGACATAACAGGAACACTTACACTGCCAGGTCAATATAGTGCGGAACTTAGTATAAGCACAGACAAATAAATCGAAGAAACTAAACAGTACAGAATTAGGAAGAAAGGCTGAGAGATAATGCCTGAGGTAAGGCATTATCTCTCAGCCATGCATGCTGCCAACCTTGCCTGATCTCCAGCACTCCTAGGGGCAATTCCTGAGCGCAGAGCCAGGGATAAGCCCTAAGCCATGCTGGGTACTCCCCAAAATACACCCCTGCTCCTATCCCAAACACCCACCCACCCCCAAAATTTTTAAATGCTTAAAATTTAAAAATTAGTGAAGAATTTGTTTCTTGGTTGCTTCACCAAATAAGTTTTCACATGAAAGAAATAAAAAATAGAAGCTGGTCCCTACTTTATCCACATAATAATTAAGATCATCGCGAGTATAAATATAAAACTGAAAGTTGTAGAGACGACAACAGAGTCAACTAGATTTGCATATTCTCTTAGTGGGATGACTGACATACTTAGGAGAACTAACTGGCAGGATCTGTTAAAAACTAAACATAAGCATATCTAGTCACATAGCAAGACTATTACTTAGTATATGCTCAACAACAGACATATTTGTGCAGAAACACCAAGAAAGCACAAATATGTAAAATCTATTTAATCTTTAACCTTACAAATGCAAAAAAAGGCAAAAAGATCATCAAAATGGATTTAAAAGAGTAGTCGTACTACAGAATACTACTCAGGAATAAAAATTCAATTACAGGGGTCAGAGCAATAGCACAGCGAGTAGGGTGCTAGCCTTTCATGCGGCCAACCTGAATTAGATCCTGGCACCACATGTGGTCATTATACCTGCCATCCTGAGCTCAGATCCAGGAGTACCCCTGAGCACCACTGGATGTGGCACAAAAATCAAAATTTTAAGTAAAATTAATTTTATATATTGGCATAGCTGAACCTTACAGATATTTTCAAAAGTAATATTATTTTTAGTGAACATAATTATTAAACAATTTCAAAAAGTATACAAAAATGTATAAATAAGGTGAACAAAACCAGTTAAAGGAGGTACTTATATTATTCAAGGGCAGTAAAGAACTAGCAAACCAGAAAAATTATTTGAGTAGGATAAACAGTCTAAGTTCCTCTCTCAAGATATGTCCAAATATACACAAAGTTAATTCAATGTCTATTAAAATCCTGACAACCAGGTTAGGTGAGATTTCACAAACCCACCTAAAATTTAAATGCAAAAACTCCAGGGGAAGCAAGACAATTCAGAAGATTAGCAATGTGACAGACTTATTTTCTATGTACAGTTACACTAAAATAACCAAGAACTGGCACTTGACAAGACAAATAGAAGAGAAGAGCAGAACAGAGATTAGAAAATGAATACTGATCGAGAAAAGATTTTTCATTATACCACATATAGAAGTCTATTTAAAAAGATTAAAGAGCTTTTTGGAAGGTCTTTAATAAAAGGTTATTATAAAAAGCAAAATTATTAATAAGTATTAGAAAAAAATAAATATAAACTTTGGATAGAAAAGCTTTAGGGGTCAGAGAGATAGAGCAGGACATAAGGTGCTTTTCTTGCATGTGGTGGATCCCAGTTTGTCCCCTGGCACCTGCGTATCGTATCTGGAGCTGACAATAATCTCTGAACACAGAGCAAGGAATAAACCCTGAGTACTGTCACTGTCACTGTCCTCCCCTTGCTCATCAATTTGATCAAGCGGGCCCAGTAACGTCACCATTGTGAGCCTTGCTGTTACTGTGTTTGGCATATCGAATACATCACGGGTAGCTTGCCAGGCTTTGCTGTGTGGGCGAGATACTCTTGGTAGCTTGCCGGGCTCTCCGAGAGAGGTAGAGGAATGAGAAGCCTTACCCTAAGATATATTTTATAAACACATACATAATATATACAAAAGTCAGAATCCAGAGCATATGACACATATATATCAATATGGAAAAAACTACACTACTGCATAAACAATTGTATGAAGATTATAAACTAAACAAGACAACCGTTTGAAGAGCAACATGATTACAAATAATCTAGGTATCAAAAGGCAAAATTAGTATACTATAAAAAATAGCCTACACTGTTGGTGGGAATACATAAGTCATAGAATCATTTGGGAAAGCAATTTGATAGCTACAAAAGCTGAATTTGAACATATTCTAAGCCCCCAAATTTGGCTTCTGTTTATCCACTCTAAAGAAATTTTTCCACATAGGCATGGAGGAGACATTGAGAGAAATTCAATCATTCTTATTAAAGTATTGTGTGTGTGTGTGTGTGTGTGTGTGTGTGTGTGTGTGTATAATACTGGATTGGAGAGGAAGTATGGGGTTTGCCATGCAACTGACCCTAAGTAGAATATTAGGCAGCACCAGGAGTAAGCCTTTAACAAAGCCAGGTATAACCCAGAAAAAAACAAAACCAGAAACAAAATGAGAAATATCCTGTAACAGATATTTGGTCACAAAAATATTGAACTAGAAGCTAAAACAACAAAACATTACCAACAACAAAATGTTGTTAAAACAAAATATTCACATAAAAATGAGGACACAAGAAAATGGAAAGATATCCCCTGCTCATGGATGGGGAAAATTAACATTGTCAAAATGGCAATACTGCACAAAGCATTGTATAAATTCAATGTGATCCCTTTAACAATACCCATGACATTCTTCAAAGAAATGGAGCAAACTCCCGAAATTCATATGGAACAATAAGACCCCACAAATAGCTAAAGCAATTCTTGGGAAAAAGAAAATGGGAGGAATCAACCTCCCTAACTTCAAACTCTACTACAAAGCAGTAAGATTAAAACAGCATGGTACTGGAACAAAGGCAGAGCTGCAGACCAATGGAACAGGGTTGAATATACTGACATCTCCTCCCAAACATATGATCATCTAAAAAGAAAAATGACCATCAAATCTTTGATAAGGGAGCAAGAAATGTGAAATGGAGCAAAGAAAGCCTCTTTAACAAATTGTGCTAGCAAAACTAGACAGCTACATGTAAAAAAATGGACTCAGATCTCTGTCTAACACCATGTATAAAAGTAAGATCAAAATGGATTAAAGACCTCAACATCAGACCGGAATCCATAAGATACATTAAAGACAAAGTGGGCAAAACCTTTCATGACATTGAAGCTAATGGTATCTTCAAAGATGTCACGCCACTGGCCAAGCAAGTGAAAACAGACATAGATAAATGGGACTATCTTAAACTAAGAAGTTTCTGCACCTCAAAAGAAACAATAACCAAAATACAAAGACAGTCTACAGTATGGGAAAGGATATTCGCTGAATACATATCTGACAAGGGGTTGATATCAAGGATACACAAAGTATTGGTTGAACTCTACAAGAAGAAAACATCCAACCCCATCAAAAAATGGGGTGACGAAATGAATAGAAACTTTCTCAAAGAAGAAATCCAAATGGCAAAAAGGCACATGAGAAAATGCTCTCATCATTAATCATCAGGGAGATGCAGATCAAAACAACAATGAGATATCATTACACACCACAGAGAGTGGCCCACATCCAAATGAACAAAAGTAACTGGTGATTGCGCAGATGTGGCGAGAAAGGAACCCTCCTTCATTGCTGGTGGGAATGCCGACTGGTTCAGCCCTTTTGAAAATAGTATGGATGATTCTCAAAAAATTAGAAATTGAGCTCCCATTTGACCCAGTACTACCACTCCTGGGAATATATCCCAGAGAGGCAAAAAAGTAGAGTCGAAGTGACATCTGCACTTGTTTGTTCATTGCAATACTGTTTACAATAGCTAGAATCTGGAAAAAACCTGAGTGCCCGAGAACAGATGACTGGTTAAAGAAACTTTGGTACATCTACACAATGGAGTACTATGTAGCAGTTAGAAAAGATGAAGTCATGAAATTTATATACAAGTGGTACTACATGGAAAGTATCATGCTAAGTGAAATGAAATGAGTCAGAAAGACAGGGACAGATACAAAAAGATTGCATTCATCTGAGGAACATAAAGTAACAAAATAGGAGACTAACACCCAAGAATAGCCAAGATAAGTACCAGGTGGTTTACTCCATGGCTTGGAAGC